AGATCAAGACAAAACAAATCAAATGGTTTGGACATGTGTCAGATAGTGCATCACAGAGAACCATTTCACTTAGACATAATGGTAACAGAGCTAGAAGTCGACCTCACAAGTTATAGATAGATGGAATATCCTATTGCGCGAATACCAGAGCAGCGTGTACATAGCATATATCAAAGCTCACTAACGATACCCCCCCCCCACCCCCCCCCCCAACCCCTCACTCCCAAACCTGAGGTTGAAATGCAGAACAGGGCTGGAGGAGGAGAAAAAGAAATTAAATATGAAGAAATTAAAAAGACTAGGACTAACAACAGTCATGCAATTCCTCAAAGAGCAAAAAATGAGAATTTGGTCATCTAATGGTACAAACTGCAACATAAATCCATAGAAAATATGGTTCGACTGAAATAGAACAGTCCTAAAGAATTATACCACACATTAGAAAGAGCACTCAAAGGTTCATTACATCTTCCCCGACACTTAGATGAAGTGACTGCAGAAGAAGAAGAAGAAGAAGAAGAAGAAGAAGAAAAAAAAAGAAGAAGAAGAAGAAGAAGAAGAAGAAGAAGAAGAAGAAGAAGAAGAAGAAGAAGAAGAAGAAGAAGAAGAAGAAGAAGAAGAAGAAGAAGAAGAAGAAGAAGAAGAAGAAGAAGAAGAAAGAAGAAGAAGAAGAAGAAGAAGAAGAAGAAGAAGAAGAAGAAGAAGAAGAAGAAGAAGAAGAAGAAGAAGAAGAAGAAGAAGAAGAAGAAGAAAAAGAAGAAGAAGAAGAGGAAGAAGAAGAAAAAAAGAAGAAGAAGAAGAAAAAGAAGAAGAAGAAGAAGAAGAAGAAGAAGAAGAAGAAGAAGAAGAAGAAGAAGAAGAAGAAGAAGAAGAAGAAGAAGAAGAAGAAGAAGAAGAAGAAGAAGAAGAAGAAGAAGAAGAAGAAGAAGAAGAAGAAGAAGAAGAAGAAGAAGAAGAAGAAGAAGAAGAAGTTTTGATTGGATTTGATTCAAAAACCGACATCACAGCACTCGAGGCATGTCACCACCTTCAGCAGCCAACGAAGAGTTCCGATACTAATGGTGCCAGTAGCATTCAGATTAAACGTCCGTCTTGCCTTTCCTCTGAGCCTCGAGCATCTACCAGAACCTCTCGTCGCTCCCCGCTGCATCAATCTCACCAGACTGTGGTGATCCATCTGCTCCTCCTAACTGTACACACTTTCCCCCAAGGCACTAACTAAGTCTGCCTTATCATGCATCAGTATTCCACCAAGTTGTGCAGAGCCAGTCAGTCTGTTCGTCTTTTTTTTCCCCAACACACCGGCGTGTCCCGATGACAAAATCCAGAAAATACTTCTCACCCGTGTCCTCCGCAGCGAGGAATGCTATTCTGTACAAAGCATGCCTTTCATGATCTTCATCAGCTTGCTTTCTGAGTCAGTTACAATCACGCTGTGTGTGTGTCGTGATCTCTAACCAGCGGGAAGCTGCAGTGACCGCCTCCACCTCTATTCTTAAGCTGGATGTTGTGGTATCATCTGACTGACTTTTTTTTACCCCACCAGGACATCACTCAGAGCAATAAACACCCGGTGACACAAAGTGCCACCTTGCAGATGAGGATCACCAGTGGAGAGGTCCCGGAAACCCTGCTCAGCCATTAGACCATATTTCAGGGCCGTCTATATTCAGGGCCCCTGGCAAAAGCCATGGTGAGGCTTCAAACAACAGAAAAATTGCGTCCCACATGGTGATGGCTTGTAACATTTTTGTACTCTTTTAAAATTTCATACAATGTAATCGAGTCACTTGGTCAGGTAATGGGACTCCTGTGCTTGATTGGCCATCCATTAAAAGCACAAACTATTACGTGAAATTGTAGCCAAGGGAAACAACGTCTAAAGTTAATAAAAAAGGTATCTTCCTCATGACAAAACAGTACAGGCCAAGTCTAGCGTTATACTGGGATCTAGCCAGGAGGGAAAAACACTTACTTTAAAAACAATCCGGGGTTATTTCCCCTGGGCTGTAGACTTGTGTATTAAATTTATGTATTTTAATATGTCTTTTTTTACTGTCGCCGATTGATGCAATATAAAATTTTTACCGCCGTATTTGGTTATTTTTATTTTTTATTTTTTTCATAGTCTGCCTTTCCCAGATTTATTCTTCAGTTCAGTTTTGACAGAATATTTCAATATAGCTCCGATCAAGAGAAATAAGTTCATGTCTTCTGGCTATATATTTATCAGTCATCCACATGTGGGGTGCAATTTTTCGTTATTTGAAATATAGCCGGGCATATATATAGCCTAACGGCTAAAAAGGGGTTTCTGGGACCTTTCCACGGGTGATCCTCAACCGCATGGTGGCACACTGTGTCATCGGGTGTTTATCGCTTGTGTGCTGTCCTGGTGAGGTAGAAAGTCAGTCAGCCAGTCAGTCTTCTGGTCATTTGGGGCATGCACGCATTTTTCAAGTTTAGGTTTTCATTTCAAGTAAATAAAGAATGTTGAGAATCTCTGCATAGATACAAACAATTCTAATAGCTGATATTTCAGTGAGTATGCCGTCTCCTGGTCATCTTCTTTCATCACCAGCTAATCACGACCTAATCCATATTGGCTCTCTTCTTTCACCTCCTCCTCCTCCTTCTTCTTCTTCTTCTTCTTCTTCTTCTTCTTCTTCTTCTTCTTCTTCTTCTTCTTCTTCTTCTTCTTCTTCTTCTTCTTCTTCTTCTTCTTCTTCTTCTTCTTCTTCTTCTGTTATTGTTGCTGCTGCTGCCACTGCTGCTGCTGCTGCTGCTGCTGCCGCTGCTACTACTACTACTACCACCACCACTACCACCACCCACCACCACCACCACTGCTGCTGCTACTACTACTACTACTACTACTACTACTACTACTACTACTACTACTACTACTACTACTACTACTACTACTACTACCACCACCACCACCACCACCACCACTGCTGCTGCTGCTGCTACTACTACTACTACTACTACTATTACTACTACTACTACTACTACTACTACTACTACTACTACTACTACTACTACTACTACTACTACTACTACTACTACTAGTACTGCTACTACTACTACTACTACTAAAAATAATACTACCACTAATACTACTACTACCATTACCACCACCAACGCTACTATGACTAGTACTACCATCACTACTACTACCACCATTACTACTTCTGCTGCTACTACTACAACTAACACCATCACTACTACTACCACTACTAAAATTGCTGCTACTACTACTATTACCATCACTACTACTACTACTACTACTACTACTACTACTACTACTACTACTACTACTACTACTACTACTACTACTACTTCTACTACTTCTACTACAACTACCACCACCACCACCATCACTACTACTACTACCACTACTACTACTGCTGCTATCACTACTGCTACTACTACTACTACTACTACTACTACTACTACTACTACTACTACTACTACTACTACTACTACTACTACTACTACTACTACTACTACTACTACCACCATCACCATCACTTCTACTACCACTACTACTACTGCTACTACTGACATCACTACTACTACTACCACTACCGCTACTACCACCACTACTACTACTACCACCACTACTACTACCACCAGTACTACTACCTCCACCGCTACTACCACAAATACTACTATCGCCACTAGCACTTCAACTATTGCTACTACTGCTAGTGATACTATTACTACTACTATTGCTACTGCTGCTACAACAACTACTACTACTACTACTACTACTATTACTACTACTACTACTACTACTACTACTACTACTACTACTACTACTACTACTACTACTACTACTACTACTACTACTACTACTACCACCACCACAACACCACTAAAATAACTACAATTATACCCATTCCCACTAGTACTACTTCTACTCCACATTTCGTCAACAAGTAACCCTAGTTTTAAAAAAAAGTGCTGTTAGAAAGAGAAAAGTAATTACAAACAACACCAACAACAAAAACTGCAGCAACAACATCACTACCATTTCTATTAAACCCACTCCCACAAACACTAATACAAATTATTATAATTACAATTACTATTATTAGACTTATCTTAATGCTTTATGCATGGCTTTACCTTGCTTTATCTAGGTCAGTCTCGCAGGAAACAATGAGGTCTTTGACAAGCTCCGTAAACGTTGAATATTCTTTCTGGACAACCTGATAAAGAAGTTAATTTGCAAAATGTGTTCAGTTTAACGTTAACGGTGTTCCATACTAATATACTTGATCACACAGGAAATTGCCCAGGATACACTGATGTTCAAATATATTACCATTTACATTAACGGTGCAACGTATCGATCGAATGTTTGTGGCATTTCCAGGAAAAGAAGGTAGGTCAAATTAAATTAAAGTGAACATAACAATGACACAGGTCGATCTACGTACGGACAACAAAGGAGGAAAGCTATTAGTAGATATTCTAACTGTGCTGTATTCCTCTTTCATATTCTCGTCCCTCTTTTTCTCTTCGTTATCACTATTTCTTCTTCTTCTTCTCCTTCTTCTTCTTCTTCTTCTTCTTCTTTTTTTTTTTTTCTTCTTCTTCTTCTTCTTCTTCTTCTTCTTCTTCTTCTTCTTCTTCTTCTTCTTCTTCTTCTTCTTCTTCTTCTTCTTCTTCTTCTTCCTCCTTTTCTTCTTCTCCACCTCTTCTCCTCCTCCTTCTCCTCATGACCATCATCATCACCACCACCATCGCAACTTCCGGTTGTGACACTGATAGGGAATGGATGACGGTTGAGAACTTGGCTTATGTTGACCGTTCTTGACGCCGCTTTTCCTCCAGTTTCGATGTTGCAAGATTGTGGAAGTCTGGTTTGCAGCCGGAGCTACATAATGTAGTGCTCCTGGTGGCACTATGAGCTGTGATTATCTGTTACTGATTGATTTCTAGATTCATTCATATTGTCAGTGATGGGTGATGTATTTTTCTTCATTGTGTTTCTGGGACAAGGCGTGTGCTACAGTTGCTATTTATTTGCTGGCCGTGGCTGCAACTTGGCCGAGGACATGTGGAGAATGGTCAGGAGCAGTTTTAATCTACTCATCGCCCAGCTATTCATCGAATGAAGTTGATTTTCAGCGATGATGCCTGGTCTCGCAGTGTGTTTAAGGAGGCATGCACCTTATAGTTTGCTAGATCAAATCGTGTGAGTTTTGTTGGTCGAGGACACTTTGTATGGCTACTACATTCACCTGAAGTATCCAGCGTATCTGACTCAGTCTGTGACTGGAATCACTGGCATAGGCGGTTGAGCAATTATGGGCCAAGCTAGTTTGCTGTGATGCCGGAACCGTAACGACTAACTAACTGACTAACTAACTTGATAATGATGATGATGATGACGTTGATATTCTATAATTACACATAGTAAAATCGTTAAAAAAAGAACAGTAAAAGTATCGTGAAACAGTTGTTAAAAATAGCACAACTCTCTACGTCATAGGAAATATCTAAACACCACTGGAGACATCCCGAAGTCATAGAAAAAACAATGGAATGGTTGAAGCGGCCATAGAGACAATAATTTGAAAGTCACTGAAAATGGTAATCTTCCTGTTGTCGCCTTTTTCAATATTATTCCAAACCCTTCAGGTTCATTGCTAAGGATATCGTCTGCCTCCATTCATCTCTGTGATTACCCTTCTCTTTCCAGTTGTTGAAACCAAGTGTTTTTAAGTTTTTTATAACATCCCCACAAGAGAAAAATCAGCATCGTAGTTATGGTCAACATATATAAATCACTTGTATTGTCTATTTTTCTCATACGGATGTGGAAGTTGGTTTTCGAATGTAAATATTGCAGACGCAATTTACGATTTAGTTATTTAGAACACAAAACTAACATACAAGTCAAAGCCAAAATCTACAAATTTACAGGACAACAGGAGCCTGTCTTGGCAGTGGTGAAACGTCGCAAGCTTTTATAGGCAAAAAAGAATCTGCTGCCTGTGATTGTGGAGCAGAAAGACAGACCCCTGAGCACATACTGCAGTACTGCCCTTACCTCTCCCAGCAAAGACTGTGGATCTGGCCCAGGGGAGCCACATTGCGAGAGAAGCTATGGGGGACCGGTGGCGACCTTAAATGCACAATTCTATTTGTGACCCAGTCGGGACTCAATGTTTAGCATGACTGATGTCGAACGCAGAAGAAGAAGAAGAAGTCGCAAGCTAGCTTGGTTCGGTCATGAGATGAGACATGATTCGATCGCAAAGACTGTACTTCAAGGAAGACTGGGGGTAGTAGAAGAAGAGGAGGGCAAAGAAGGAACAGGAATGACAACATCAAGAAATGGGCATGACAAAGTTATCAAACAATTATTCATTAAGCGGATGAGAGAAAGAAGGCTGGTTCTGTGTGCTAGTACTTCCGTCGATACACCTCTATGTCAAGGGCAATATTATGTTATACATCACCGCTGTCTGCTTTTGGTCTTCTATCGTTCAGTTCTTTTGCATACTGGGATCTCTCTGTCACTAAATCTATATGCCCGAGCCACCGAAGTATTTTAGCTCTAATGATGACAGTAATAAGCGACGAATTAAACAGAATATGAACTACTGCTGCGTCATTCAGTTCAGGAGTAGTTTTCACGTGGATCCCAAAGAACTGTCGCGAAGCTATGGAGTTCGTTTTCTGCGTGACGCACTCGCAGGCGGATAGCCATTCTGAGGAGAGAGACTAGGCCATGTGGGATCTGGTAATCTGGTAATCTGGTAATCCTAGTTTCAGCTTCATAGCAAACGGGTCACCCCACACATGCTCCGCTCCTGTGCCAACGAAAAACAAACGCAGCTCACAGTGTCACGCCATGCACTCAACTCAGAAGCTGGGCGACGAAACTACATCCTTCCAGTCTACAAATGGAGCAAAAATGCAACGGCCACCGTCTGGAAAAATATTTGCCACGGCTTTAAAAAAAAAAAAAAAAAAGGTGGCCGTACCTAGCGTCCATTTTGACCGGAAGAATTATATGAGGGTTAATAAACGGTCACACCAGCAGTACCCTCATTATTAGCTGGGGAAGGGACTTAGGACATTACATCCACCAGCAGGCGTCGCCCCTACAACGACCTGCCTGCCCTCGTTAACGACTGTTCACCCAACAGCCATGCAGTTCTTTGGCACGAAGGAGACACCTTGAACTTGGGTTTCGTACTGCCGACTCCCTACTAAGATGTTATTTTATGTTCTGTTATCACAATTAATGTCACTGCACATTGGGCATACCCATGCGTGCTCAGTTCTCCGAAGCAGCAGCCACTCTAAAGTACTTCTACTAATTGTCCCCATGAGAAGCTGGTTATATTGTCTCCTTTCTCGGCCTCGAAGACGGCAAAGACGTGCATCACCATGCTTAACTCCCATGTCACGCAATCGTGTTAGTGTCAGGGATTCCTCATTCTCCACTTGCCCGGTTCGTACAGCGTTGACTATGTCTGCTCTGTCCATACTGTTTCCTGCAATCATTAGTGCAGTGCTTGCCATGTGGGATAAAACAAGGTGCATTGAAGTCGATCATCTCGACTTTAACCTTTAACAGAATATAAAGTTGTTGCTTCTTATCTATTTTCTACTCTTTGCATCCTTAATTTTGCCCAAAAATTCGCAGGAATTGTTAAAACAACAGACATAAAGAACAAACTTACCTGGAAAACATGGTTGTCCATTTTTTCAAACTCTTTGGCAGACTTAATTAGCTGTGACCTTTTGAATTCAGGTGGTGCAACCGGAGGTGGCCTTGAAAGGTCAGCCGTTGGAGAAGGTTCATCAGAATCACAGGACACTCGATCCTGTTGTGATAAAAAATATGTTTTGGTGTTGTTCGCACCTTTCCGTTCTGTTTTTCTTCACTTTCTCTTTTGCCGCTTGGAGTATCGGGAGAGATATAAGATTCTAATTCTCTCTCTCTCTCTCTCTCTCTCTCTCTCTCTCTCTCTCTCTCTCTCTCTCTCTCTCTCTCTCTGCTTGCCGCTCGACCATAGATACAGCGTGCTGTTATACAGTTTCTCTTTATATTTTTGGTGTACGCCTTGAATGATATGGCCTCACAAGATATCCTCACTAAGTTAGCAAACCATTTGATTGGCTGTCTTTGTATGTATGTCATTTAGAATTGGTCCAATTCTTTATTTCTTTTTCAAGATTCTTTTACTTTACTCAGGAAATGTATTGTTTTTGAAGCCAGTTTTATTTGGGGCAGGTAGGCTCATCATCATTTCGCTCATTAGCATCACCGTCATCTTCATAATCTTCATCTTCACCCCACTCAACATCATCACCACGACCACCACCACCACCACCACCATCTCTGTGTTTGCTTCTCCATGTCCCGTCCTTGCAACTAGGCTTTCGTGATGCCCTAGCAACATATTGATTACCTCAACCATACTATACAATCTTTCTTTCTTTCTTTCTTTCTTTCTTTCTTTCTTTCTTTCTTTCTTTCTTTCTTTCTTTCTTTCTTTCTTTCTTTCTTTCTTTCTTTCTTTCTTTTTTCTTTCTTTTCTTTCTTTCTTTCTTTCTTTCTTTCTTTCTTTCTTTCTTTCTTTCTTTCTTTCTTTCTTTCTTTCTTTCTTTCTTTCTTTCTTTCTTTCTTTCTTTCTTTCTTTCTTTCTTTCTTTCTTTCTTTCTTTCTTTCTTTCTTTCTTCTTTTTTTCTTTCTCTTTCTTCTTTCTTTTCTTTCTTTTCTTTCTTTCTTTCTTTCTTTCTTTCTTTCTTTCTTTCTTTCTTTCTTTCTTTTTTCTTTCTTTCTTTCTTTCTGTCTTCTTTCTTTCTTTCTTTCTTTCTTTCTTTCTTTCTTTCTTTTCTTTCTTTTCTTTCTTTTCTTTCTTTCTTTCTTTCTTTCTTTCTTTCTTTCTTTCTTTCTTTCTTTCTTTTCTTTCTTTCTTTCTTTCTTTCTTTCTTTCTTTTTTTTTTCTTTCTTTCTTTCTCTCTTTCTTTTTCTTTTTTCTTTCTTTCTTTCTTTCTTTCTTTCTTTCTTTCTTTCTTTCTTTCTTTCTTTCTTTCTTTCTTTTCTTTCTTTCTTTCTTTTTTCTTCTTTCTTTCTTTCTTTCTTTCTTTCTTTCTTTCTTTCTTTTCTTTTTTTCTTTCTTTCTTTCTTTCTTTCTTTCTTTCTTTCTTTCTTTCTTTCTTTCTTTCTTTCTTTCTTTCTTTCTTTCTTTCTTTCTTTTTTTCTTTCTTTCTTTCTTTTTTTCTTTCTTTCTTTCTTTCTTTCTTTCTTTCTTTCTTTCTTTCTTTTCTGTCTTCTTCTCTCCTTCTTATTGCTCTTATCCTCCTCATGTTCGTCTTCCTCCTGCTCCTTCCCCTCCGCCTGCTTCATCGTTATCATCATCATCGTCAGCATCATCATTATCATCAGCATTATCTTTCTCTTCTTCTTCTTCTTCTTCTTCTTCTTCTTCTTCTTCTTCTTCTTCTTCTTCTTCTTCTTCTTCTTCTTCTTCTTCTTCTTCTTCATGATCATGGTCATCATCAACGTGTTTGTCGTGAGAATTGTACTGTTGCAAAGATATCAAGCCCATGATCTGTAGATACCGAAAGAAAATACTGGACAGTTTTGGCAACAAGGTATTGAAGAGCTTGACACAATACAGAGAGTCGACGTGATGTAGAGGCTAGACGCTCGCCTGCTGTTGGGAAGGTCGTGGGTTCAGGTCCTGACAAAACCGGGCTTTCTTCAAAAATGACATTGGCTCCCAGGTCGACCCAGCTTTAAGTGGGCACCAGGTGCAGTCGTGGGAAGTAAAGGCAGCTGTGTGATGTTGACCATATCATCCACCAAGTGCTGATTGGTCTATGTTATAAAGGTCTCGCCCTATATGCACAATGCGTCTGAAAGCGTGGAAATGTGTCCTTTACTATTTACATAAGACAGACGTGGAAGGGGGTGGGGGGGGGGGGGGTAAGACCGCCATAATTACTAATACCACACAGCATTGACTTTTTCTTCTGCCCTTTTGCCTCCAATGGAGCATAGGCCTTCACCCAGCTCACAACAAATTGTCCTGTCTCTTACTATTGCATGCAGCCAGTTCGATGTCTTTCACATCTTCTTAACTTCACCTTCAAGCTTCCGTCTCTGTGCCAGTTTTGGTCTGCATGGACTATCAGGAGAAAACAAATGCAAACGAAAAATATGAAACAGAAGAAGAAGAAAAATAATAATAATAAAAATAATAATAATATTAATAATAATAATAATAATAATAATAATAATAATAATAATAATAATAATAATAATAATAATAATAATAATAATAATAATAATAATAAGAAGAAGAAGAAGCAGAAGCAGCAGCAGCAGCAGCAGCAGCAGCAGCAGAAGAAGAAGAAGAAGAAGAAGAAGAAGAAAAAGAAGAAGAAGAAGAAGAAGAAGAAGAAGTAAAAGAAAAAGAAGAAGAAGAAGAAGAAGAAGAAGAAGAAGAAGAAGAAGAAGAAGAAGAAGAAGAAGAAGAAGAAGAAGAAGAAGAAGAAGAAGAAGAAGAAGAAGAGAAGAAGAAGAAGAAGAGTAAGAAGAAGAAGAAGAAGAAAAAGAAGAAAAAGAAAAAGAAGAAGAAGAAGGAGAAGAAGAAGAAAAAGAAGAAGAAGAAGAAGAATACGAAGAAGAAGAAGAAGAAGAAGAAGAAGAAGAAGAAGAAGAAGAAGAAGAAGAAGAAGAAGAAGAAGAAGAAGAAGAAGAAGAAGAAGAAGAAGAAGAAGAAGAAGAAGAAGAAGAAGAAGAAGAAGAAGAAGAATTAATTACTTCAGAAGCCGTAAGTCTTTCCGCTATCAACATTAACATCTCCTGGCTTTGCTTCTGTATGAGACTTGCCACCTTGGCTCTCTGTTCGTTGCTCAACCGGTCAATCATCTTCCGAATCTTTTCCTCTTTCTTTCTCCTGTGGAAAATATAGAGTTCTTAATTTAATTCTTACTAAATGACCAAACCATTCGATATTCTGTTACTCAATGAATCTTCTGCATGGTGTTGTTCCTACAGTCTGTCTGATATTATCATTTCTAACTTTCTCTCGGATGGTTAAGTTAACGGCTTTTCTCAGGCATCTCATTTCATAGGTTTTTAAAAAAAAATAAGTATTCAGAAACCATGAGTTGTTAATCCGTTGGCTCGGTACTATAGATATCACACCCCTTCGGCCTTGATTTCATGATGTTTGTGTCTTCTTTGCTCAAATTCACAAGTTATTCAACCCAGTTACCTGTACGTCTCCTCCAGCTTCTCCGTCTCCTTCTGCAGCCGTGTCTTGCCCTTTTGAGGCGAGAACCTCTCAAATGTGGACACCATGTCTCTTACAGACCTCTCCATTTCGGCCCTCAGTTCCTCCTCGAGACGTTTCACCTGAAACATGAGAAAACCTGAATGTAAACAGGTGTCAGGTAGGGGAAAACCTGAAGGTAAACAGGTGTCAGGTAGGGGAAAACCTGAAGGTAAACATGCATCAGGTAGGAGAAAACCTGAAGGTAAACAGGTGTCAGGTAGGAGAAAACCTGAAGGTAAACAGGTGTCAGGTAGGAGAAAACCTGAAGGTAAACAGGTGTCAGGTAGGAGAAAACCTGAAGGTAAACAGGTGTCAGGTAGGTAATACCCTCTTTCCCAGGGGAAAAAAGGCCTTACCCGAAAATAAGATCTTACCCCCCCCCCCTTTCCGCCCAGCCCTAGGCCCATCTCCCTCCCCTCCCAACGATCTGTTTCAAAAATTAGACCTACCCCACCCCCACTTCCCCAAGACCTAACCTGAAAAAAAGACTTAACTTAACAAATAGACCTATTAAAAAAAAAAAAAAAAAGCCAACACGAAAATTAGACCTAGCCCGAACAAAAATCATGATACGAGACCTAACCTGAAAATTATACCTAGCCTGAAAATTATACCTAACCTGAAAATTATACCTAGCCTGAAAATTATACCTAGCCTGAAAATTATACCTAACCTGAAAATTATACCTAACCTGAAAATTATACGTAACCTGAAAATTATACCTAACCTGAAAATTATACCTAACCTGAAAATTATACCTATCCTGAAAATTACACCTAACCTAAAAATGAGGCCTAAACTTAATTTAAAACACACACACACACAGCCACACAGCCACCCACATACACACACACAGCCACCCACACACACACACAGCCACCCACACACAGCCACCCCCCCCCCCACACACACACACAAACACATTAGGCCCGAAAATGAGTACCCTTTTACGTCTTCCAGACAACCGTTTGATACTATGCTATGAGGAAGCCATGAGGTTCACATCCCATGCCGATGGCCAGTGTGGCTAGCAAGACCCGCCCACGTTAAGAAAGGTCATATAAATGCAACATCAAGAAATTTCATAAAACCTCTACGCTCAGAAAGATGGAGCAAAGCATCAAGACAGAATTGAGGAAGACCATACAACTACAAGAGCAAGAGAGATCCTACACA